TCTTCTCCATTTGGGTATTCAGATCCTTCTTTCTTTTCATTTTGGAATGGAAGAATAAATGAGGAAAAGTGTGCTCAGAAATCCTATCCTGCTCCAGAGCATGTAAATAGCATTATGAGCAAAAATTTTCAAGCCTTCAAGAGCAAGGCAAGTATAGGATAATTAAATGCTCATGACAATCAAAATAGAATTAATCCTAGTAAGCTTTTCTCAGTTGAAGGAAACGTCTTTAAAAAGTGCTTACTGGTCTGTCTTTTAGTAGGGCAGTTAAAAAAAAATGTGGTGTAACAATCCACAGTAAGGAATATTTTGCAGTCTTTAATAAAGAAGAAAACATACCTATATGTACGGACATAAAAGGATATGTGGTTGTTTTAAAGTGAGAAAAGTCATGGATAATTCTATGATCCCATTCATATAAAAACAGAAGTTAAAATATATACACAGAGGAGATTGGAAAGGTGCACACACATGAAACTGCACTCCACCTTCTGCATTGAAAGCTTTTGTTTTTGTGGTTGTCCCACCAGATGATGAAGTCCTTTATTGCCAGATTTAATAAAGGATGATCAACATTCAATTAAAATTTCATGTAAACAATGAATTATTTTAGTACAGGTACATTCCAAACATGGCACGGGACATATTTATACTAATATATATATATATATATATATATATATATATATATATATATATATATATATATATATTGTCTCACTGAAATTCAAATTTAATTGAGGATCCTGAAATTTTATTTGTCAAATCTCACAATTGTATTTAAGGAGACCATAAGCAATTCATCCTTGTACTATTGTTACTAGCACAGCTAGTTACAGAGATATAGCGGGCATACCGTAATTGGTGAGAAGAACTAAGGAGAGCACAATAACACCAGATAGTTTTGCTAAGTGTGCTCCATACTTTATCTTAACTCTCATGGAAATGCCCCCAAGTTTTAGCAGTGTTTTTATTTTACAGATTAAGAAACAGAGGTATGTTGAAGTCACACGGTGGGTGGTAGAGTTAGAAGTGATCCCGTTTCTGGGTCCTGGTTCAGCAGTCAACATCAAGGCCAGCTGCAGGGAGGAGGGAGAGGAAGAAAAGGGGGGAAAGAGCCAGGGAGGAGGCTTTGGAGGAGCAGCATAGGGCTCTGCACACATGCCTCCGCCTTGCCTGGACGTGGAATGTGGGATGTACACGAAAGGCAGGCAAATCTGGGCCCGGTCCCCACCTCCAGCATCCACTGGAAAAAGTTACAGTAGTCACCCCCTTATCTACAGTTTCCCTTTCCAAGGTTCCAGTTACTCATGGCAACCCAGGTCGGAAAATACTAAATAGAAAATTCCAGAGACAAATAATTCATAAGTTTTAAATTGTGCGCCTGTTCAGAATGATAAAAATCTCACACCATCCTGCCAAGAACCATCCCTTTGTCAATGTGCCCTACGCTCCCCGCCCCTTAGTCACTTAGTAGCCATCTTGGTTTTCAGATCATTGTCAAGATATGGTAGTGCTTGTGCTCAGGCAGCTCTTATTTTATTTCAGAATGGCCCTAACGTGCAACAGTAGCAAGGCTGGCAAAGCAGATGTGCCGAAGAGGAGCTGTGGAGTGCTTCCTTTGAGTGAAAAGGTGCGTATAGTACCATAAAATATTTTGAGAGAAACCACATTCACATAAATCTTATTACAGTATAGTTTTATAATTGTTCTATTATTATTGATCACTTTTTGCGCCTGATTTGTAAATTAAACCTTATCGTGTATAAACAATACGACGAGGGGTTAGGTATAATCCTCCGTTTTGCGCATTCACCTGCTTGGAATGCATCCCCAGCAGATAGGGGGGAACTACACTATGTTATTTACTTTTTTGCCTCAATTTTCTCGGATGTAAAACTGGAGGGAGAGTGCCTCTTTGAGAACTGATGTGCAGAGTCAATCATATAATTTCTATAAAGTGATCGGCATAGGGTTTGGCAAGTAAAAGACAGTTAATACTCAAGGTTCCAGAGTTTTCATTTGTAGAACAGGTTAACACCATCAGTAGCAACACGATAATAATATTAATTTATATTGATGAGTTGATTTGAGGACCAGATGAAAATATATATCACCTTTCTAAATTGTGAAATGCTTCTCATTCTTAACAGAGAAATTGCTCTTGAGATAATCTTTAGGATAAGACTATCTCTTGTCACAGAATATCATGCCAGAGCATTACTTCAGTTCCTCCCCCCACCCCCGAAGTAATTAATTTTGTTTAAAAATTTATCATAGAGTAAACAGGACTCTTTTGTTTTGCTGTACGTATAGTAGATCTATGAATTTTAACCCATGTACTGATTTACATAACCACCACTACGGAACATGACTACAGCTTTTGAGACTTTTTTTTTGCCCAAAGTGTTTCATATTCAGGTTGCAAGACACCTTTCAAAACAAGAAAAGGGGATTTGGAAAAACGTGATGAAGACACAAACGAACAAAACTGACACTTTGCTCAAATATCTGCAGCCTCCAAACCCTCTCCTGTCTGGGCCACTTTTGCTATTGGCTCTGCAGACTATCTCTCGTCACGAAAGTAGTCAAGAATGAACTTGAGAGTACAATACGTGTGCAAACTGCAGCATTCCTTATCTGATCATTTTATTACGGGACCTTAATTTCCCAACTGTTTTCTCTAATTCCCACTTTTCTCTCCAAAATGAAGAAACCTGAACTAACTAACCAGCACCTTCTCACCTTTTCATGGAAATTATTTGATTGGGAAAACGGAGATAGTTATTGATAAGAGGACAAGGACAGGGCTTTCAGGGCGCCAAACCTCTCCAATAGAACATCCTCCCAGGAAGTAGTCATTCAATCTATTCCCTTCTCCAGCTCCAACCTCTGCACCCCCTCCTCCGCCCAGCTCCCCCAAGGGCAACAGCAGACTTTAGGCCAAGCTTCAGATCTCCCTGGGCGGCCTCCCTCTCCCCCACCCCCCTGCGGACTCTCCTAGCTTTAGAGACTGACTGGCACTGACACACCGCAGCCACATCTGGTGAGAGGGGGCGGGTCCGCTTTCCCGGTGAATCACCACGTTGCTATTTGCCTTTTGTTTCTAGGATGCTTTGGCTGCCTTTTCTTCCCTCTGCTTTTAATTTTCGAGGAGAAAAGCTAATGAATCAAGAATGAATCTCCTCTCCATTAATCTCCTCCCCCTCCCCCTTCCATCTTAAAGTTGGATCTCTCTCTCTTTCTTTACAAGTTCCGTAACCGTTCAAGTGGGATGGATGGGCGGGGTGCATTCATCACACCTAAATCAGAAGTTGGCTTCTAAGGTATCCTTTTGACGGGAAGATTTTTCTGACGCTCCCTTGCAGTTTGCTGGGCACTGTGCTGCGGCCGCTGTGCATCCTCAGCTCATTTCTGTCTGCTGCTGCTCCGTCGCGCCTGAACCTACCTCCTCGCCGCCCTGGGTACCCGAATCTGGGCGAATTCCACGAGCTTCATTAGCGGTTTTGTTCCAGTCCAAGGTAAATACAGTATGCAAAATAAGGAACCACCCAAGGATGCCGGAGAGGGGGGGAGAGAGGGATTCCCTCATCGTTTCCCCGAATATTCCTCCTTCATTTCCACCGGGAGGAGACACAAAGCCCAGGTCCCCCGCCCAGTCCCTCTTCCTAAATCTCCCAGCCGTGGTCTACGGAGCCTGGCCGCGCGGCTGGAGGGGTCCCGCCCCGGCCCGGCCCTCCCCCGCCCCCCGGGTTGGTTTTTCCCGGCCGCGGAGGCTGGGCCCCGGGCCGGGGTGCGAGCGGAGTCTGCACGCGCAGCTCGGAGCCGGGAAGTCGCCGGGACTCCGGCGGGACGCGGAGTTGCCTCCGGAGCCGGCGGGCGGCCGGGCGCCGAGGTGAGCAGCCGGGAGCCGGCCGCGCGGGCGGGCGAGAACCGGGAGGCGGCGCCGCCGCTCCTCCCCATCGCCGGGCGCGAGAGGAGCGCCAGGTCCCGGCTCGCTCCGCCGCTTTGTTCGCGGCCTTTCCCCTCCCCTTTGGAGGAGACTGGAACCCTCTCCGGGACCCGGGGGCTGGCGGAGGCGCGGGCTGGGGAGGGGGGGGGGAAACACAGCTGGACAGAGGGGGAGGGGGCTTATCCCTCCTTATCCCCGGGAGGGAGGGCCTAAGCCAGATCAAAAGACTCTTGCAACCTGAAACTTGCCTCTCCTCCAAACCTGGCCCGGGAGAAGTCCGCGTGGGGGCGGAGACCCGGAAGGCAGGTCGTCCGTGGAGGCGGAGGGGTGGGGTGGAGGTGGGAGGGGGGTAAGAAGAGTGAGAAGTTTGGTCGGGAAGGCGCTGGGGATTAAGCCAGAAGTTACGCATGAGGCACAAGTCTGCTGGCGAAAGGAGGAGGCGGGAGGCCGGGGAGATATAAATATCTATAGCTCGGGCCAGGGCGGGAGGAAGTCTTGATGCTCCAGTCTCGGGATGCGCGCCCCTCTCCTGCGTAAGGATGTGCTTGGGACTGGGGACTCGGGGGCGGGGAGGAGAGGCGCTCCGGGGCTTTGGGAGGGAGGTCCCGGGATAGGGAGGGACCCCCTGACTTGCACAGATCGGTTCCTGCACTCGGGTGCGGATCCTCACGCTTCTCTCCCCTCCGGTCCCAGGTCCTGCAGCGGATCCGGCGTGAGGCGCCGAGCACACAGGCGAGCGGTGCCACCCGGGGCGGCGGCAGGAAGAGGAGCGCGAGTGGAGCCTCCGAAGCCGCCGTGCGTACTTGCTAGTGGCCTGGGGCGGGGGGAATCGCCCCGGGAGGGGGACGCCCGTGGCCAGAGGGCGCTGAGCCAAGCTCCGGCTGCGGCGCACCCCCTTCGCCCCCCCCCCCCCCAGGAGAGGAAAGTTTTCTCCGGAAGCTCCCTGCTAGCCCGCGCCCTCGGGGGGCCCAGCTTTCGAGCCTTCGAAGCGGGCGCCGTCCCAGGCCAGCTCCGGGGAGACCCTCCGGGGAGGGAGCCCCGCGCCGGGATGCCTGGAGCTTGCGCCCGTGGCCCCGCCGCGGCCGCCGGGGACGCTTGGCTGCGGCTGGCGCGGCTGGCGCTGGTCCTGCTGGGCTGGGTCTCCTCGTCGTCCCTCCCCTCCTCGGCGACCTCGTCTGCCTCCTCGGGGTCCTTAGGGGCTGTGTCCGCGCAGCCCCCGCTGCCAAGCCAATGCCCCCCGCCCTGCGAGTGCTCCGAGGCGGCGCGCACCGTCAAGTGCGTGAACCGCAACCTGAGCGAGGTGCCCGCGGACCTGCCCGCCTACGTGCGCACCCTCTTCCTCACGGGCAACCAGCTGGGCGCGCTGCCCGCCGGCGCCTTCGCCCGCCGCCCGCCGCTGGCCGAGCTGGCCGCGCTCAACCTCAGCGGCAGCCGCCTGCAGGAGGTGCGCGCCCGCGCCTTCGAGCACCTGCCCAGCCTGCGCCAGCTGGACCTCAGCCACAACCCGCTGGCCTATCTCAGCCCCGCGGCCTTCGCGGGCATCACCAACGCCAGCGCCTCCTCGCCCCCCGGGCCCCTGGTGGAGCTGTTCCTGAACCACATCGTGCCCCCCGATGACGACGAGCGCCACGCCAACCGCAGCTTCGAGGGGATGGTGGCGGCCGCCCTGCGAGCCGGCGGCCAGGCGCTGCGCGGGCTCCGCCGCCTGGAGCTGGCCAGCAACGCCTTGGTCTACCTGCCCCAGGATGTCCTGGCCCAGCTGCCCAGCCTCAGGCACCTGGACCTGCGCAACAACTCGCTGGTGAGCCTGACCTACCTGTCCTTCCGCAACCTGACGCACCTGGAGAGCCTCCACCTGGAAGACAATGCCCTCAAGGCCCTGCACAACGGCACGCTGGCAGAGTGGCAGGGCCTACCCCAGGTCAGGGTCTTCCTGGACAACAACCCCTGGGTCTGCGACTGCCACATGGGGGACATGGTGGCCTGGCTCAAGGAGACAGAGGTGGTGCAGGGAAAAGCCAGGCTCACCTGTGCGTTCCCGGAGAAAATGAGGAACCGGGTCCTTCTGGAACTCAACAGCTCCGACCTGGACTGTGATCCTATCCTCCCTCCGTCCCTGCAGACTTCCTATGTCTTCCTCGGTATCGTGTTAGCCCTGATCGGTGCCATTTTCCTACTGGTTTTGTATTTGAACCGCAAGGGGATAAAAAAATGGATGCATAACATCAGAGATGCCTGCAGGGATCACATGGAAGGTTATCATTACAGATACGAGATCAACGCGGACCCCAGGTTAACCAACCTCAGTTCTAACTCGGATGTCTGAGGAGCGTTCGAGGCCAGAACAAGGACAGCTGTGCATGAGACGTAGACTTCATTAAGCTTTATCCTGTCCTAGGCTTGCTCCACCTCCACCCTCCACTGTAGATAACACCCGCCTGGACTGAACGCAGGGAAGGGGATTTGCTCCCTTGTCATGTAAAGTGTCTCGGTGTGGTCCATTCATGTAAGATGATGACTAACAATCTCATAGTCTTTAACCCTCTTCCCTTTCTTGGAACTCAACATGTATGGAGGGACTTCTCAAGTTTCAGCATGAACATGGACTCCTGGCTGTCTGTTTCTGTTAGTACAAAGTGTAACAAGTGTACCAATACAGATAGCATTCAACAAAAGCTGCCTCAACTTTTTCAGAAAAAAAAATTCTATTCATAAGTATCAGTTTTATTCTCATGTACCTAAATTGTGAAGAAAATGATTGTATTCCATAAACTGCCTGCAGACCTTAGCAAGCTCTTCAAAGTAACTCCGTAGTACACAGGAGCACCTGCATCCGAGAGCATGCTTATAATTTTACTGTTCTGCATATTACAAAAAGTAACTTGCAACTTCAGATAACTCCTTTGAGAAAGTAAATTACTTTTTTTGATTGCAGTTTATATGAAACTATATGCAAGTTGTTTTATAAGCTGCATCGAGATCCAACAGGCTAAATTGTTTAAAAAATTCAATAAAGATTCTTAAAAGAATTACAGTTGTGTTCAAGTTTGCTATTTGAAATAAAGGATTAGGGACAGTGTTACTGAGTGGTCTCGGTTCCAGTGATAATTAAGGTGTCATAGCTGAGAATGAAACTGGAGCAATATCTTACATAAGTAGATTTTGGAGATAATTTTGAGATGGTGGATCCTTTCAAGATTTAAATAGAAAATTTGAATATTCATGTGAAAAGATTTATGGTCCCCAAATTAATGCTATTTCAGAAACAATTGTGTCAGAGCATTATAAAGTGGTGAGAAGGAACAGTTCTGTATAATAAACAGTTCACAGTTTGGGACTTTTTCCAGAGTAATCTTTTAGGATAGAACAAAATTATAAACCTCTCCATATGAAATTTGGGTGTTTAGAGTATGAAACAAATACAAATAAATGTATGAAAATTAAATGTTTTAAAGATAGAATATTCTAAAATCAAAGACTTTAAAATAAATTAATTTTTAAAGATCATAATGTAAATTGTAATTTAGATTTTTTTGGAGAATATTTAAAAATATATTTGGATAATTGTTCTGTATTTTTTAAAATATATTTTTATTGATTTCAGAGAGGAAGGGAGAGGAAAAGAGAAATAGAAACATTAATAATGAGAGAGAATCATGGACTGGCTGCCTCCACTTGGGATCAAGCCCACAATCCGGACATATGCCCTGACCAAGAATCAAACTGTGACCTTCTGGTTCATAGGTTGACACTCAACCACTGAGACACGCCGGGTGGGCTGGATAATTTTATCAGAGACCCTACTAAATATGTTTTAAACAATGTTATGATAGGATATGCATTTGAGGAAAAAGCCCGAGATAAATGTCTACATGCACAAACAAGTGTCTCAACTAATAATCGTAGGTTCTTGTGTTCAATTCAGTTTTTAAGAATTTGGGGATATTTTGATTTTAGCTAAGCTCTGTGTTGGTATATACATCTTGGTGAAAAATAGGCACATTAAGTGTAAATAAAGCAATTAGTGAATCAATTGATATTCTCAATAAATAGACAAAAACTTTTTCACAGTTATTTTCCAATTAGAAGTAAATTCCATTCATCTCCAAGCTGTTCTATAAAGTGACTTTAATTTAGCCATTATTGTTTAACTTAAAGTGTAATGAACTTGCATCAGCATGACTTAGGGCCTTCTGCAGTGTTTTATATTTGAAATACTATTTTCATAAGTGAAAAAGGATTAGATACTACTTTGGGTTCTAGAGATCTTTGCCTAATCCTTTTTTGAGTTAAATTCAGAAGTTTTCAAAATAGGGCAAAAAAACCCAGTAATGTGTAGATTAGACTAAATAGTTAGAATATAATGTTTTAACTATATTAACTTTAATAAGGTTTATCTTATGAAATATTATAGAATTCATTATTTATGGTTATACTTGAAATCCTATAATTACCTGAGTAAAGTTTATATATATGGTATTTAAAATTCCATTAAACATCTTAATTTTTCATCAGGAATTCATAAACTAGCTAGCTGCCCAACTAGCTTACTTCCAAAGAATGATGAAGATATTAGCTTGCCAAAAATAGTGAAAACATGTAGTAAGAGTACACATCTAATAAGAGCACACATCTTAGGAATAAACTGCTGATGGATGTTTATTGGTAAGTCTAAAAATTTGTAGAAAACACCAAATTGTAGTATTTATAGAGTTTCTATTTAGAAGAATTATTTCTGCATCCTGTGATAGCCTAACAGTTAAAAAGTGAGCCTTGCCTAGCCAGTCTGGTTCAGTGGTGGAGTGTCCATCCAGGAACTAAGAGGTCAGGGTTCAATTCCCAGTTGAGAGGTGTGCAGGAGACAGCTGATCGATGATATTCACTTCTCATTGATGTTTCTATCTCTATCCCTCTCCCTCCATTTCTAAAAATCAATAAACACATATTTTAGGAAAAAAAGCAAGCTTTATCTTAAATCCAAGAAAGCAGTAGATTCATTAGTCTGGCTTTTCTCTCTATCAACTCCCTGAAGCAGAATCTGTGATAAAAGAAAGCAGAGTTTTCACTTGTTCCATGGATAACCTTTTTGAAGTTATGATTTCTTCTTTTTCATTGCCTTGTTTTTTCCTATGAACTTTCCCGTTTGCCATGGCTCTCTTTTTTATCATGTCACTCCTTTCTATTCCAATATATGGCAATAGGTCCTTTTTAAGGTAAAAAATATTACTGTTTGAAAACAATTGTTATTGTACAGTCATAATGTTCTTAAGTCTATAACCTTATAAGGCATTCAGAGTTCTCTGGAACATAGGTGCTATGTAAATCCAATAAGTACAAGAGATTCAGGAAAAATGAAATTAAAAGCATCACTTTAGCCCTGGCCAGTGTGGCTCAGGAGGTTGGGTGTCATCCCTGTGCACCAAAAGGCTGCCTGTTAGATTCCAGGTCAGGCCAGCAGGCAGCCAATCCATGTTTTGCTCTCATATTGATGTTTCTCTCTCCTTCTCTCTTTAAAAACATAACAATAAAATCATAAAGACTTGAGTTTTAACAAAAAAGTAAGTATCACTTAAATTATACTTTTAAAAAATATATATATATATTTTATTGATTTTGTACAGAGAGGACGGGAGAGAGATAGAGAGTTAGAAACATCGATGAGAGAGTCATTGATCAGCTGTCTCTTGCACACCCCCTACCGGGGATATGCCCGCAACCAAGGTACATGCCCTTGACCAGAATCGAACCCGGGACCTTTCGGTCCCCAAGCCGACGCTCTATCCATTGAGCCAAACCGGTTTCGGCTACTTTTTTTTTTTTTTAAATATGTTTTTATTGACCAGGAATTGAACCCTGACCTCTTGGTTCGTGAGTTGATGCTCAACCACTAAGCCACACCAGGCAGGCTAAGTGTACTTGTTTTAAACACTGGTCCATTATGCATTATTTATCCTAGAAAACTACCAGTAACCTATTTTTTAAGATATGTTTTGGTTGGTAATACACTTTATTACTCAGCTTAATGAAGGTTTCAAAGGAAACACCCTTTACTTATCGTTTATATAAACTTCATTTGAAGAAAGTTAGAAAAATATAGGTTTCCCCTGTTATCTGAAAGTAGAATGTTCCTATGAAACTTTTCCTAGGCTTTTAAGAAGCAATTACCATTTATCTAAAAGCCAAAAGGCCTTTTTAGGTTTCTTTCGGTTAGTGGGATTCAGTACCAACATAGGTCATTCCTAAAAGTGAAGCAGCCTAACACAAACTTTTAAAGAGTGGGAGGTACTTGTACTTTAAAATTTAAGCACTTGATAAATCTATCCATTTTAGAAGCTATAAAAAGTCCAATAAATCTCTACTTAAAGTGGTAAGATTTTAGGGTAATATAGCTATTGATCCTGAACTGTAAGTCACCCCCCCTCCCCTGCCCCTTCCAATATAACCCTTTAGTTTGCAGCATTTATACAGGGCTGGGCAAAAGTAGGTTTATAGTTGTTCATATGGAAAAAGGCACGCAGGTTATGATTAGCACAATAGCTCTATTTACTCAAAAGAAGGTCATAATGCAACTATAAACCTACTTTTGCCCACTGTGCATATGTACCTACCATAAATATTGCTGCCCTGTGTGATTATGGTGACCTGTAAGGCACATTTGTACCTTGTAGCCAATAGACGTTTTTACCAAATAAGTAGACTTTGAAGCACATTTGATAAAATTTGGAGCTCCATAGATTCATATTGTCGGTAATAGACAAAATGCTTTTTTTCAGAGGTGGAGAAAAGCTTCATTGAAATGAGCAAATCACAAATGATAAATTATTTTAAAATATTTTGATTGGCAGCATAGGTGGATTATACTTCCCTCGATACTTAATTAGAGATAACATATCTTTGTTTTCTGTTTTTTTTTTTTTTGTTTGTTTGTTTTTTAATTAAAGTGGATGTAAAAAAAGAACAAACGAACTGTGACTGTTTCCTTAGGGATTTTGTTTTACTCTTATCCCTTTCGGCCTAATGTTCCAACACGGGGCTTAACATTCTTGAGGCCATTAGAGGCTTTGGATTCTATTTGGGAATCCTTCATATCATTTCTGCTTTCCATTTAAGTTCTCTCTGAAGTCTACACTGAAAGAGACACCATGAGGACTTACAAGGTTAAAAACAGTTTGGTAAGTGCTTTCTTCCTGCTCCAAAACCTATTCAGTCCTCTAGCCTTCAGAGAGCAGCGCCATAATGTGAAGACAGACATTTATGAGATGAGATTCTGGATTCACTTTTACACTTATGCAAAGATATTTTCACAGTAAAAGAGAGGAAGGGAAG